ATATAGAACTCCAGCGTCGGCGGTTCGTGGGTGCGGCCAAGCGTGGGTGACACCCTCGAGTCATCCGCCGCTTCCGAATGCCCGTTCCATTCTTCCCTCAAGGTTAGACGGGGCGTCGTCAAGTCATTCATGGGCGGAAAGGCGAGGACCAATTGAATCGGTCGGTGTCGGAGACTGCCGCTGAGAAGCACATCATACATTTGAAATATTGCCTTTTTGGGCGTAATCGAAGCATAAAAATATAAGGTTTTTTTTTCTCCTTTCACTCGAAGTGAATACATGTTCTAAAAGTTTAGCGTGACAATTGGCCCAGTAAAGTACACAGTCGAGAAGATTTCTAACTTGGTTCGTTCCGCCACCGTGCCATGATTTACCATTTTCCTGAACCACCTGAGATTGGGTGGAGAACTGGAAGAACCAAACGCGGAAGGGTCAGGAACAGAAAGACGGAAGTATCCGTCTCAATCAGGTAAATTTACACCAGCTCGCCTGCGCCATCACAGTTTATCGTATCATGACGCCCGCTTCACACTGTATATATACCAGGGGTGGTCAAACTGCAGCTCGCGACTTGCATTCGACTCTTCGCGAGTTTAAGTGTGGCTCACTTGGACTCGCGACTTTTGCAGTAGTGTCTGCGGCTCTAACGCCATCTCACTCTGGCCACCCCTGGTATATACCTACAAGAATTTTCTTACGCAAAGCTAGCAAAATTGGCTGCGTTTGGTGGACGATACATCGCCCGCAAGTTTCGCGGAGTGTGATCCCGTAACTTGTGTCGTTCGTTTCCCGAGTGGCCAGCCCCATAACCTGTTCTTTATTAAAACTATTCTCTCAGTCAGCTTGACTGCAGTAGGAGCTTTCTTTCAGGGGCGACCGTTCTTTCTTCGATGGCAAGTCAAGTGCATCAAAGCCACGACAGACGGCAAGGTCCGCGTGCTGAAGGCGGAGCTGCTGCAAGTCTCGTGTCGCAGCGGATTATACTAGACATTAAGAAGACCGAAGAAAGTCAGAAGCGCACTTTGTAGGAAATATCATCGACGGACAGACATTTTGGAGCGTGCACTCTCAAAACAAAAACGCCTGTGCACTTTGCACTTTCCTTTAGGGCTTCCCCAGAGCCAATCCTTGCGACTTGTAAAGTGACTCAGCCAATCGCGAGACCGAAGCCAAAGTCTCAATACCAAAGTGCAATCGGAACAGGGATACTTATCGTGACGGTGCATAATCAGTGTAACAGTGCAATCTGCACTTCCATGGACGACCACTGCTTATTCGAGCTGTAACTAAAATTTTCTATCAGCTTGCCTAGATGGGTGGCGCTTTTTCAATAATGGACACTGGCGCAGCATTGTCGGAGGGCACTATATTTTGCTCTTGAGTTGTATCCCGGGCAGCATGTCTTCTTTCAAGAAAATGGAATATACGCGCACATAGACGGCCTCTCGTCTTCATACCCACTCCGCTGGCTCCTATTTTTTCCCGTAGTCCACTCACGTACGTTCACATGGTACATGACCTCTGAACACGAGCTAATTTTTAATAGTCTACTGTTATTTTGTTGGTTAAGAGTTGCGGGAAAATAATGTGGGAGCCCACGTTAGCTAAGGCCCGACCAAGCTCCGCCTCGACGACACAACGCGAGGTACGAAGGGTTTTGCTGTCCCACAGCTGGACGAGCTGGGAGTAGCGCCTTCTCTCGCCGTTACGTGCCAGACCGTCCTCGAGCTCGCCGCTCGAGCTGTGCCCCGTGTCACGAGAAGGGATAGGACAACACGTTAGCTCCAGATCGCGCAACTATGAGACAACAAACTCCTTCGTATGCTGCGTTGTGTGATCCTTCACGGGGCGATAAAGGCGGGGCCTGATCGGGCGTTGATTTAAGTGGGAACCCACATTATCAGGCCACGTACAACTCGTAACCATCAAAATCACACGCCACCGCAGAGTTGAACAATTTTTGTAAGCACTTGGTCTGGTGCCGGATGGACTTATTTTGCACATTTTGTCCATGCGTGAAAATATTTTCGACTGACTTGAAGATTGCTAAACCATTTCGGAGCAGCGCGATTATAATATACTTAAAAGAATGAGAGGCCGTCGATTTTCTAAGGACTCCTGTGAGTTGTTTTAGGAGGGCTGTAGTTTTGAAATTTGTTGATTTTCTACCGACTGATGCATAGTCCCAATCCGGGTTTTACGCCTATGACCATATGGCGTTAAAAAAGGAAGAAGACTACAAGGGGAGCTAGCCGCAGCACTCTCGATGAACTGATTGTGATGTGAAAGGTTCTACTCAAAACGCGTCAAGTTTTCAACGTGGAAAGCTTCATCTACAAAGTATCATGCTATTTACCTCAATAATGAAACAATTTCAGACTGAACCACTCTGTAAAGGTACCTTAACTGAACTGTTGAGCTGGTGAAATAAATCAGCAATGATAATGAGTGTTAAGGACTTCCACATGGGGTGTATAAGGAAACTCCTTACACTCTTTTGATTTTTTCCATTATACCTGTGGAATGAGTAGTGTTAGTAATACAAGTAAACAAACGGCAACGTTTTCACCGAAGCGTGTTTTGGAAGGAACGAATTTTTAAATAGGATTTGTAAAAATAAATTTTAAGAGCTTCCCACTGAATGTCTGAAGAACTCTAGAGCAACTACGTCCGACCAATTTTTGAATATGCCTGTTCTATTAGCAAGTTTTGTTTTAATTTTTAATTTAAAAAATTTAAATTTCAAGATCAAGCTAAAAGATAAAAAAAGCGAAGTTAGAAAAGTTGTCTTTGGAAGGTAGGGGCATTTAGAGAACCGCAGTGCCACCGAAAACATCTTTCACAGAAATCACTGCTTTTTTTAAATAAAACAAAAATTCCTCGATTAACCCTAATTGGTCACATTTCTAAGAGAATATAGTCTGCAGTATGTATTTCATCCTCCATCTTTTATTTTAGAGATGGAATCAACTTGCAAAATGACAGAATTCGGGTGTAGAGCAAATGCTTTCAGTTACCAGCTTTTTCAAGTGAAGTAATGATTGGAATCGGCAATACAATAGTATTCCTTCGATGTTTTCGAATGGCGTCTTCTTATGGTTAACGAGCAAAATTAATGCTTTCTTTTATTGAAATGTACAATGTTTGGCTATTCCTCGAAGTGGAGTCTCGGAATATTTCTGTGCCTTTGCATAATCTCACTGCAGAAAAAAATATAATGTAATTTAATCACTCCCCTGCGATAATTTTCCTGTGGTGATGCGGTACAAGACGAACATATCAAAATGAAATAAAATGATCAGAATACAGCAAACATAACATTTTAGAACGGTCAACAACGAATAACTTTTTCACGTCGTATACGATGCACGCAAAAACGAAACTTAGGGATCACTTGTTGTGGGCAGTCAGAATTAAACGTCTTGTGAAACTAATGTTGCTATTCAGATAATAATACATAAATATGTGTATCGTCCAAGACGTAACAACATTATATATACAAATATATGTGAGCAGACAAAGAAACAGAGGAGCTGCCATTTTGGCGTCGGCGAACACGTCTTCAAGTTCACCTCAATAACAAAAACCTCTACTGCGCACCACATAACTGCCACTCCTGCTCTTCAAACACGCACAAAATAATAAAAGCTGGTGTGTCTTCGTGTTCGAAAGACCACAAGCTGGCAAGCAGTAGACATGAAAATAGAAAAAAAGACGAAACACCTGGACTGAGCATAAGTGGAGCTAAAGGTGTGTGGAGCATTTTAACTCTTTCTTTTTCAATATACACAATTGATATGCCCTATTCCTGTATCTTTTTTCTTCTACTAAGTTTCCCATATTTTGCCACCATCTAGTGTAATTTTAACACAATCACAATTATAGATTTCTTTTTAGTCTGGAGGGCATATGAGCACGTTATTTTTGTGTTTGTATTACACGTTTCAACATGCTACAACTTTTTAAGCTGCCTCAAATATTTAGAAATAAAACAAACACGAATCAAAATCTTTCAGCGACTAGCCCTACACAAATGAGAACCACGAGTTATGAGAGAAACACTGTGTATAAAATAAATATCGCAGCTGAAAAGTTTGCAACAATATATTGCGATGGACTTTAACTAGCTAGTTTCAACGCTGTGGTTGAAGGATCAAAATAAATGAGGCACCATTCGCCACAACACTCGCTCTACTTATGAATAAAAGCAACTCCAGACAGAAGTCACGAATTTTAAGTCGCGAAATGTATCTCAACACATACGTGCACCGGCGGATCCGTATGTTCTAGATTCGTACAGAATGAGGAGAGATTCGTAGCTCGAAAGATGGGTAGCATTCAGTGCGAAAGGGTTAACACTTTCAATATTGCGATCTGTGTAGTCGCCTAAAGCTTTACGGAAAACGAGGAATGCAGAACTCCTCGTTGCCTGAGACGTAAATGCTAGAAATTCACCCGAACACTAATCAATCTAGTTATTACGTGGGGAATTACACCATATCGACCGATAAATAAATCGTAAATAGTCGGATCACCCCTATTCTATGTTCGACGACCATTTTTCTCGATAAGATATTTACGAAGCAGGATTTTCACGACCACAGCGTAAAGTGCACGGAAACCAAAAATAATAATAGGGGCAGCGGAAGGAGCGGCGCGGCGTTAAAGAGGTATCGGGATATTTCGGAGAAAAACAAATTGGAGCATCGGCTAACTTTAAAGTGCTGTACCTGAGCGGGAGTTCGAAATACTCAATGACATGTCCGTTCGACAGGTACGACATCTATAAAATCTAAATTTCGCCGTTCCGAGTTGTCTATTCTTTTCTTCAAGAGGAGTTGGAAGGTGCATGGAGAGGGGGCATCAAGTTATTTTGGTTGGTGGCTCAAATAAAGAAGTTAACGCGTGGATTGCTTGGCCAGAACTTGACACGCATAAAACCCCGTAGGATCGATGCTCGGATGCAAAGGGTGTGCAAGGCAAGAGCGAGGACCGCTCACCTTCTCCCGCATGGCGATGTCCGGGCGTGCGCGCATGGCCCAGTAGCCTGAAACACACACACGGGGCGACCGGGCCGAGGAAGCAAGCAGGGGCTCGGAGTGCGAAGCGGCCAGCAAACCTCCGACTTGTGAGATTGAGCCTCGCGCGGGCGGCAGGCTCCTTATATAAAAGCTCGGCCTTCGACGTCCGCCCCCGGAGCCGCCGGCTTCCCCGCCACGCGTTCGAAAACCCCCCTTTCCGGGGCGGGCAGGTCCCTCCGGGCCTCTCCCTTTTGTCTCCAGCCGAGTCGGTGGCGAGTCCGTCCGCGGTCTCCCCGCGGTCGGCGACGACGACAACGCGCCTCGGCGCCCCCTCTCCCGTCCCGCTCTCGTTGGAGCGGAGACGCGGTGCTGACGACCTACGCGTGCCCACCTGGAGCTGTAGGCGACCCATGACGACGCGCACAAGAAGGGAAGATGCCCTCCGCGGATGCCAAAAGAAGGTTCGCCCCCGAAGAGACGATGATTGTCCGCTAACTGCTCCCGCATCCGCCTGGGTGAGGCGGGCATGGCGGACGCGTGGGTACCTGGGAACGCCAGCCAGCGGACATCCCGCCGTCGTTTGTGGCTGGAGGGAATTGTCTGCGAGCTGTGCTCGTGGCGAGGACACGGCTAATCTGCCGGTCCAGTTTTAGCATGGGACTTAAAGGTAACTCGTGAGGTGGTTCTATCAGACTCGAGAAAGATCAGCGTTTGAAATGAGTAAACATCGGTTCGGTGGCACGAATGTAAACCCGATTACGGCGGTTCAGTCGTATGCGTCAATCCTTCTATCCATTGAAGAAGACAATACAATGCCCTCGTGAGTCTTGGCGTGGGAGTAACGAGGGAAAAATATAAGATTCTTTCGACACGCCCTTTTCGGAAACTTTCGGAACCCCAGAACCACCAACTGATGTGAGTTCAAAGATGCGAGTGGCACCAGTCATCAATTAATTATGTCACTTTTAGGCATTTGGGAAGGCTTAATATCAATATTTATTTATTTTACGTACCATTAGTCCGATTGAAAGTCTTTAAGGGTAATTACTCATCGCAATTTGAAAAACAAGAAAAAACAAAAACAACAATCGACGCAATGTCTAAAACGCCAGTGCATAAAGTACAAACAATATAAACAAAAAATCATCATCTAAAATAATATATATCTATATATTGTACAAATTACTTGCATTTGTATGTTGTAGATGTGATGAAATGTGAACGAGTGTGTCGTTAGTTTTTTGTGCTCCTGCTAAAATCCCCAAGGGACTGGCAGTATTTTCAACTAAAATAAATAAATAAAATAAATAAATAAATTTATATATATATATATATATATATATATATATATATATATATATATATATATATATATATATATATATATATATATATATATATATATATAGGGCATGGTTGGTCGCGTAGGGTTGGCCGAAGGCGTGGAGTACACAAAGTTGAAAATCCCAAGTCAGAGAAACAAAAACACGGAAGGTTTATTTCAACGTTTCGGCAAGAGTCTTGCCTTCGTCAGGAATGGCGACACAGTTCATGTGTGACGCGTCTTATCCAAATCCTTAAAAAAGAGAGAGGGGGAGGGGAGCGGACAACATTAGGAGGTCACAAGAAAGCATGACCAAGCATGGGAACAATACAAAAAAAAAAGGGGGGGGGGAGAAGCAATTAGACCGGACAAGATGACGAGGGTTTCACCAGATAAACATACAAATGGCGTATAAGTCAACAGTACTACAGCAGAAAGAAAGTGGTAACAATGCATGACCTAAATATTGTTCTCAATGCAATATGAGGAGTT